GACGTATGATAGCTCGTTCGATAGTGTTAGAGCAAGGCCTTCCTCTGGGTCTAACATCTCATTTTGTAGTGTGCGTTGATGATGTTTCCTAAGGTGCCTGTGAAACGATTCGACTGGGCTATTTCCTTCTGGGTGATAAGGAGTGATTGCCACAAGATCACTATCAATTAATTTAGCTAGCTCCTGCATCATTAGACCTTGGAATTACCGTTGTCTGATATGATCTGACGAGGAACACCGTATCGAGACACCCACATTCTGATAAAGGTGGACACCTGTCTCTGCTGTTTTGTCTTTAACGTACGTTGCTTCAACCCATCGTGAAGTCCTGTCGATCATAGTCATTATCTTTAGGTCTCCTATAGTAGGCTTCCAGAAATCAATATGAACCGACTCAAACACCTTTCCGAGGGGAAGGGAAGACAATCCTTGAAATCGCTCTTTGCCACTTCTACGCCGCTGACAGATCAGACACGAACTTAGATATTCTCGAACTGACGGTAACTGATTGGGCCACCAGAATAATTGTCGGCATCGTTTGGAAGTTCTGATTACACCGCAATGGGAGCCAATTCCATTCTCATGGAAGTATTTGATAATGTCTGTGGCTTGTTCGGTTGGAACATAAATTTGATTTTGTCTGAATAGCAGTCCACGTTTAATGGTCAATCCAAGTCGTATGCGCTCTGACTCGGATAGAGTTCCTTGAACCGATTGTATCATCTGTAACGTAGGTAACGGGGAATCGGTACCGTCTAATTCGACACAAAATAGTTACCTTTAGATCGTGCTCTTGAAGTGTCGCAGCGCTTTTATGATCAGTAAAGACCAGAGCCCTTCTTCCACGTAGAAACGTATCAAACTTTCTTAAGGATACAACTATCGCGTATGCTTCCTTTTCTCTTGTGGGCCATCGCTGCTCGACTTCTGTCGGTGTTTTAGATGTAAACTCAATTGGTACGACGATACCCTCTCGATTAAATGACAGGACTCCAGCTACAGCATAATCACTTGCGTCAGTCTCCACGGTCAAGTCCTTCTTGCCATTCGTTCGATAAAATGGCGTTTCCTATCGGTCTTTCAATTGCGTGAATGCCTTCTCTTCTTCTGTTCCCCAACTGAACTTTCGGTCTCTCTTCATTAATCTTGTCAGGGGAATCGTTAATTGGGCGTAATTAGCGATAAAGTTCCGATAATAACCGAACATTCCGAGAGTGACAAGTGCAAGTACCCACGATGGTCGTCGTCCGGAACGATTGTTGGGATGTGCGGGAACGCCGTTACGTACGACGTGGATTTCGGTGGACAAGACGTGCGGAAAATCCACAGCAGCCGACTACTACCACTTCCAGCTGAAGCTGGGGGTCCGGGTTCGAAATAGAGACGGAGGTAACGGCAGAACCTGCCCGCGTGGCAAAGAGAACTGCCATCATCAACGAGACAGAGGATGGTGAAATTCATTTTGAGAAACGACAACGGACGAACAACAATACGCCGACGCCGCCGTCTAGCGACCAGCCACCCAATGATCCACTCCCCC